ATTATCTCGTATCTATTATATATAGGAATCCCCACTTACGTGTACAGGAACAAGACCCATCCACCTCCATATCCCACTGTTTAGGGCATTGTCACGAGTAAACCAATGCCCGTGTGGGGGTGGAGGGCATCCGAATTATATCAGTAGGGGGCACTGAGGTTGCAGCCCCCCTCCCATCTGATTCCTCATTCCATTCATATTTCTGCTAACGGTGTAACGTCGTAAAACTGGGCGCCCGGGTGGATTTTAAATTTCTCGGAGAAGGCACGTGGGACCGAAGAGTCAACCGCGCCCACGGGTTGCAAGAGAAGCAAGTAGCATTCCATACAGCGCCATCCCGCTCGTACCTTCACTAGGAAGAAGCCCTCGTTAACGTTGCAGACCTCCGGTTCTCGCCCCAATGACCTGCTGCACTCCCCCCCCCCCCCCGGACTGTCTGCGCTCTTCCCGATCGAATCCCGCAGCCTCCTCCAACACTCCTCGCTGGCGCCCTCCACTACCGCCCGCTTCTCTCGCCGCGCCGTGCCATCGCCCCTTCCTCATCTTCCCTCTGCCCCGCTTCGCTGCCCTCCTCTCCTCTCTGCCCCTCTGCGCTCTGCCCCGCGTCTGCTCTGCCCCGCGTCTGCTCTGCCCCGCGTCTGCTGTCTGCTCTGCCCCTCTCCACTCTGTCCCTCTATGCTATGCACTGGGCCAGCCAACGCAAACTGCATTTCCCGCTCGAGCAAGTCTTTTTTCCCACAAACTGCAAAATCATATGGATAAATGGAACTCGTGTGGAATTATTTAAACGTAGTTTGGTAGTTTTTGGGAAAAAGCTAACGAAGAGAAGTCGTTTCGCTATTTTGGCACAAAATGCGGTGGATGTATTGCTTTGTCTGAACATACGAATCCTTTTGGTAATTATTGTGACTCACGGCCAGAATCCCTCCGTCGACGTGAAAATACGGGAGCGAAGAGTGACAGATTGGCCCGATTGAATTGGAAATTTTTTGCTAATCGAAACCAATTGCTTTAACACACACATTTTCAAATTACTGTATTCTTATACGAGGCCTATCTATCGTCGTATACTTTATTTTCACTGTCTTGCCCCAACATCCTCCGCTTACCCATCGTTGCTGTATCCTTAGTCTACTATTCCGTGATAGTTTTCTCTGATCTTTCCCATTTATTCCACTTTACCATACCTCTTATCAAGCTTCCCTATTCTTTGAACAGCTCCGTCTCAAACATTTTACGTTACGATAGACTTCCCCGCTATACTCTTTTCTGCTGCATTCGACTCCTACCCTTCGCTTCTGCCTCCCGGCATCCAATCCACATACTGCTCTGACGAGTTCACTATGGCTAATCCGACCTTTCACGGGTTGCTTTTCGTACCCTATCTGCTATTTTGTAACCTACTCAGCATTTGTTTACTCACTGCTCAAAACGGTCTCTCGTTGTAATGTGCTTTAAACCGCCTCCATGCATTACTAACGCCGCTCATCCAAGCCAACCCCACAACATCCCGCCCCGTATCTCTACATTCCGTCGATATCTCTCCTCACCCAATTTCATTCCATCCCACTCCTACCCGCTCCACTCCATCTCACTTCCAGCGTGACCCCTCCGGTCCCGTTCCGCCTCATTCTCTCTCTATCATTCTGCAACATTCCGCCTTATAGCGCGTCATCCCGTGCCATCCTGACCCATTCCTCCCTATTACGAGCCCATTCCTTACCCCCTGGCTTGACTCCGTCTTCTTTGCTTCCCAGCCTCCCGCAGTCCATCTCCCCACATCTCACACTCTTCCCGGTCCCGTTCCAGCCTTCTTTTGCCGCCCTACTCCCTCCCTTGCTGACGTGCGCGCGCGCGCGGTCGATCTGTTGTCGCTGGGAGAAAACATGAGTTCCCTCCTCTCCTCTCCACTCCTGTCCTCTCCGCCCCTGCTCCGTCCCCGCCCCCTCAAACCCGCGCCCTCCGCCACCGCTGCTCGGGGCGAAAATAGCGCGTATGCAAATGCAGCACCTGGCGGTGTTGGCGGAGGCAAGGCGAGGCAAGGCGAGGCGAGGCGAGGCTCTGTCGCCGCTTCCCTGCCTGACGACGCGTCGGGCAACGCACAGCAGCCAGTGCCACGCGGCCCCTAGCAACGGCAAACGCTCGCCTTGCTTCTTTAGACACTTAGGTGGCTCAATTGATGTCACTGTAGTGCCTCTTACCGAGCGGTTGTAGGTTAGAGTCCCGACATTTGAAGAATTTTCGGCATTAGGTGCATAGGTAGGTCGAATTCAGAACTGCTCTAATCGGTGTATTTCCGAGGTGTCTCCAACCTACACCAGGAGAATGCCGATGCAATGTCCAACGCTTATGGCCAATGCTGATGCAATGACAAACGGGCTAAGGATCGCGCGCGATCTATATTTACCTTCCTTCTCCTTTTCTTAGCCCTTACTTACCCACTTACATTTCCATTCACTACATACTACCTTGAGATCTGTCAGAGCTAACAGCTTGTCCGCGCTGGGGCAGTGGCCTACTGTTGGGAGTCAGAGGTTGAGAAAAACTCGCAAGCAGACCGGTAGATTGACATCGCGTCTCGCCATCCATCGGGGGAAGATCACTGCCACCTCCCACGAAAAATGCATGCACTACACTTACGGGATAATCAATCAATCTTATTCTTTAGTTAGAAACCTCCCGACTGGTACCGGCTGAGATGGCTCTGTGTCAGCCTTGCCTTTGCCTCCTCACAGTCGCTGACCGGGAGGTTCTAGCGTTCGTAACCGGGGAATGCGTCGATAAATATCGGCCTGTCCATCCAATCCTTTTTCCATCCTAGGAACGCTTACAGGCTCAGGTAGGGAAATCGCAATAAAGATCTTCGGCTGCGTGCGTCATGGCAGTTTTCGTCCCAATTCGGCAGGGGTAGCGGGATCAGCGCCGCCATCGGGGTCGTGGACGTTTTCGGGGGGCGGCCGCATGAAGCCGCAAGGCGCGGCACACAATGACCCTGCGTGACGTCACGGGCGCACGACACCGGGCACGTCACGCGGGCAGCGCGGCGCGCGTCCGCGTTGGACGGGGGCGGCGGGCGGGCGGGGCGGGGGGCGGGCGGGGCGGCGGGCGGGGCGGGCGGGGCGGGCGGGGCGGAGGCGGGGCGTGTGGGTGGGGAGGGGAAGGGGAGAGGATGGGGCAGGGGAGGGAGTGTGGAACGACCCGACGACGGCCGGTGGCCGCCCACGCGCGCCGAGGTCGTGCTTGTTAATGAGGCAAGGCCAGTTACCGCATCGGAGGGAGCTCGCTCGCGATGCAGGTTTTACAGGACGTGGGATGAAAGCTGACGCAGGCGCTTATAAAAAGCGATGGGTGATTCTTCCCCATAGAAGTATATGAGAAATAGTTGTTTACGATCGTGGACCAAAGTCGAGATTAAATATTTATTAAAAGAGACTAATAACCAATTCAATATTTATAGTATTGACCAATTTATAGTATTGACCAAGAGTAATAACCAATTCAATTTCAAATAATATAATTTTCATTCATGTTCGACTCTTCTCTTAAGAAATTGTTTGGTTGTTCTGGCTGATTATCTAGATTCCCGTAATTTTATGTTACTTATTGTATTATAATTTATTTTGCACATAATGTGTATATTGATTTGCTTATGTTCTGGCTGAAAATCTTTAGTTCTCTAAACGTAAGTTGCATAATGTTATTATTTCTAATGTATATTCACTATTTACATTTGTCTTACATGGTGATTACAACTACTATTTACACTTGCGGTTTCTCGCTATCATTTTCATCACACTTTCACTCTGTGCGCCCCTGTCGCAGCGAACTCCAAATTTACGCCTATGGCGTCACTGTCGTAACGTATTACGTCACTGCAATAGATTATTGGAATATTTATGAGCATACTTTTCCTATGCATTACGAATCTCATCTATGAGGAGAATACCGGATGAGTATCGTAACAAACGAGCCAAGGGGTGCGCGAGATCCTTCCTTCTCACGATCTTTTCTTGCCGCCGCCTCCTCCTCTTCCCTTACTCACGCACGCACCATAATGTCGAGAGACCAATGTGGAGTCTGTTCTGGAGACCATCCTTAGAGCCTGTTCCGTCTGGGGCGGTGCCCTGATGGGGGGAGATACCTGGAGAGCGAAATTCCCAGCAAGCCTACCTGTAGCTCTGCGCTGGTTCTCACCATTCAGCGCGAGAGGAACACTCGTGAGTTAAACTATTCAATTCGCTCAGGGGACTACACCACCATTGGAGTTAACATGCCCGGAAACAACACTTAACAAAACAGATCATTGTTGTTAATATTAAATTGTGTTTTATTGGACTGCTTGTGTTCTAATAAAATATTAACAAATTGGTCACCGTTTCGATATTTTTAGTTTTCTTTAGCTTAAATGGAATTTGGGATTGAGAAAAACCTCTTAAAACAACTGATTTAGAGAGTGGCTATGAGTGGCTGTTGATCTCTGAATTTGATTGAACGTAACTGTACATGACTGAGCTTGGCTAAGCATGACTGTAGGTGGCTTAACTTGACTGCACATAGCTGAGCGTGACTGTGGATGCTTGAACTTGAGTGGACGTGACTCTACATTGCTGAGCATGACAAATTGTGACGGAGGATGGCTGAAACGTAACTATTCGTGGCTATAAATGGCTAAGCGTGGCTGTGTATGGCTAAACTCGACTTTATATAGCTGAGCGTAGCTGAGGATGTCTGAACTTGAGTGGACGTGATTCTACATTGCTGAGTATGACAAATTGTGACTGAGGATGGCTGAACGCAACTATTCGTGGCTATACATAGCTAGGCGTGGCTGTGGATGACCAAATTTGGCTGCACATGACAGAGCGTGGCTGTGGATGCCTGAACTTGACTGTACGTGACCGTACACGGCCGAGCGTGGCCGTGGATGGCTCAACTTGACTGACCGTGTCCAAGCGTGGCAGCGGACGGCTGAAGCGACTGAACCCTCCTCCTTTCCCCAGTCGTTCGTGGCGTGCGCGTGGGGCATCCAGAACATCGGCTACGTCATCATCTGCTACGGGCTGCTCAACTCGGGGCTGGCGCTGGCCACCGGGTGGATCGTGGCGCGCGCGGGCCGCCGGCCCGTGGTGCTGTGCGCCGCCGTCATGCACGCGGCGCTCATGGGCGGCGTGCTGGCGTGGCGGCCCAGCCCCGACCACAAGCTGCTCTTCTTCGTGGTGGCCGCGCTCTGGGGCGCCGCCGACGGCCACTGGGCCGTGCAGCTCAACTGTGAGTCGCCCTCCGCAACTGCGCGATCCGACGCGACGCGATCCGACGCGACGCGATCCGACGCGACGCGATCCGACGCGACACGACGCGACGCGACGCGTTCGCTTGCAAACCGAGCCTAGGGGTTTTGAAAACCGATCTATAACTGACGGCTACGTTAACTCATGAAACAGAGCAAGCTTTCCCGGCCGAAAGTAAACCATTGCATTTATTTCTCACCATCTGATATATTCTATTCCGATGTCTGGTTTATGAAATCTATAAAAGTGACGTTCAAAACACCTGAAACTCTCTCAAACATCTAATATTGTTAATTTAAACCACTCGGAATAATTTTTATTCATTCAAAAACTGGTAATACTAGATCAAATTGCTTACCCGTGATCAAGTTGGTTTAACAACTAAGCTATACCTTTCATCTGCACCTTCAGCAGTCGACCACAGCGGCGACGGAACAATTACTTAGTCATTCAGGAGCCAACCAGGAAGCTCTTTCGACCGTCGTCCCATCGCTGCTGAATATGTATGTCGTAGATATATACACGAAATGTCAATTCAAATGAACCGCCTTAAGAAACTTCCAATTGCAATTCCAAATTGCATTACCACAGTTTTATAATGAATAAAATAATGCCCGTTAGTAAATACTAACAATATTAAATGTTCATGGATGTTTGGGCCTTGAACCTAACTTTTATAGATTTCACATGTTATATACCTTAACAGAATATAGCAAATGAAAAATAATCGCAATCATTTACAAATACGTTCAATAAAGTGATTATGAGAATGCTCACCTAATTTATTAAGACTCTTTAGTAATTTTACAAATAATATACCTTACTTTGATTTAAAGAGAGTGTGATACAGGATTCAGTCTTCTCCTCTTGAAAATGAAAGCAAATTAAATTAAAATTCATTATGTACAAATGTCGCATTCTCCTTTCCCTATCTTCCGCTCATGGATGCAGTGCACGATGTAAACAAAGTATTTTCAGTCCAGTACTTTTCAGGTCTCTTACAAAGCAGGCCATTCCTGATAACACGAAATAGCAAGAAGGTAGTTATAAAAAGAAGCGATCCAAGGTTCTCAGAGAAAGTTTTGCATTGTTATTTAACTTAACAAAAAGTAGTTTTCAAATAAAGCTTCACTCCGGTTTAGATTCCATATGTGTTATAAGCGTTTTGTTGGGCTCTCTTTTGCTACAAGCAGAAGGAGTAGAATGGGAGTAGGAGTTAGGAATACCATAAACTCAAATCTGTACTTCGTTTGCCGATACAAATACATTTTATATTTCTCGGGGGCGAAAATGACTAGTTATCAAATATATCCTACCCGCTTTATAGGTACTTTATGCATAATTCTATTATTTATAGTATAAAGGGAAATATGGATTCTGAAACTGAAGACCACATGCGCATATGCTTCCTCCTCACATGTCTCAATAAATAAAAGATAAATAAATAAAAAATAATAATGAATAAAATTAAAAATTAAAAAATATTTAAACAAATAAAAAAGTTAAATTATCGTGACCTTTGTAGTAATACGATTTCCAAAGTGATGTGAAGGCGTGGTTAGCCTTGTGGTCTCTCCCTGCAGAGCCGTGGAGCAGCGCTGAGGTGAAGGGCGAGGGGAGAACGCGAGGGCGGGCGCCCATCTGTCTGGCGCAACGCAGACTATTTGTACGCGCTTCGGCAGGGGCTTCTGAAATGGATCCCCTGCGCCCCATCGC